GATAGATAGATAGATAGATAGATAGATAGATAGATAGATAGATAGATAGATAGATAGATAGATAGATAGATAGATAGATAGATAGATAGATAGATAGATAGATAGATAGATAGATAGATAGATAGATAGATAGATAGATAGATAGATAGATAGATAGATAGATAGATAGATAGATAGATAGATAGATAGATAGATCGATTCTTGCTTTAAGTAACCCTTATTAATCATTTGTAAAAATATTAAACTATTTATGAATCTTTATAAATTAGTTATAAAATTGATAAAATATTGTATAAGAATTTAAACATTAATTTTAAATTCTTATAAATCAATTTTAAACAATGCATAACTGATAATAAACAAGCCAACTATTTATAAATTAGCTTTAAAGTCTTATAAGTCAACTATTTTTAAATCATAAGAAAACAACTCAACTAAATTTTCACCCTCCATTACAATATGTTAGACAGAGGGCAACATACGTTAACAGAATTAAAGTTAAAGATTTATTTCATATAATTTTTAGTTGAGGGTTTATTTTATGATTCATCTTTAGTTGAGAGGCTTAATTACTAAAAATCATATATATTTTTAGGTACGATGTCTGTACTTAGGTCTCTAAACACATTTAAAAGTATGTCTTCATGAATTCTTAATTTTGAAAGATACTAATTTTAATTTACAGAAAGTATATTACATTTGTTAAACATTACTTAGCTGCATTACCCATAACATAGTTTTATAATCGTTTCAAAGGAAGCTTAGCTAGGTTTTTGTTAAATAAATTTCAGTTTTATATTAACTTTACAGATTACATATAGAGATAAAATATAATGATAGATGATTTTTTTTTATTTGTAGAACAAAATAAAATGTTACATATATATAGTAATGATGAAAATTGAGAATTTAACTTGTGTAATCAATCTCATTTCTCTTTCATTTTCTTGGTGATAGCGAAGGCTGCTCCCGCTACGGCCACGATCACTGCGGATATTATGATCGTCTTTCTCAGCGTTTGCGTGGCGTCTCTTTTTGCCTTTGCATTTTCCATCCTTTCTAAGTTTTGTTGTATCTTTCCCCCATTTTAAAACATAAAATGAATGTAAATACAAACTCACGTTGGCATGAATTTTTTTTCTAAACGTAGGCATGGATTTGTATTGAAAAAAAAGGAAGGAGAATCTGATATTTGGTGGTTATGTTCGAAACTCAACATATTCAATAAGTTAATCTTATTTCAGCTAATTAGCTACAATATAATCTTTTTAAATTAATATTATATAAATTAATACACACTAAAAATCTCAATAATATAATTTTATAGTCTCAAATTAAATTTTTGGTTCAATTAGTATATCGATAAATTAATAATTTCTATACATTAATAAAAAAATTATAATTTGGTGTAATCCCAACATTATTAATTTATAGAGATTTAACTGTACTTATGTAACTAGTTTCCCATTTCATTAGTATAATGTGCGTATATGGATGAAGTGTCACACATACCTACGTATATAAAACTTATAAATGGGAATATACCTTTTCAGAAGCTATCTCTGAAGAAACAGGATCTACTTGCAAACTCTGGTTTTGGCCAGGATTTAATTCAGCTTCTGCGTTTCCTTCAGGAAAAGTTGTTGCATCTGTTGCCATTTTCACACTTAACCTTTATCGCCTGATTCCTTTTTTTTATTTTTTTTTTTGAAATAATGCTTTGAGAACAAAAGAAATGACGATTGCAAGAAAATGAGGCAAGTAAATTAAGTTTCGATTTTGTAGCAAAGCATTATTCTCTAAAAATAGTTTGACGTTTGTTATGTTGCTATAGATCTTTCAGCCATTCCATAGGCATTTTCTTTAGCGCTCTTCGTAAATTGTATTAACCGACATCTTCGTTGATTCCACTATTTCTATCTTCACATTATTTTCTATTTTTAACATTTGAATGAAAAGAAACCCTCTAAGGAAAATATGAATCTATTTTCTTTTCACACTATATCCAAAATAGGTTCTTTCCAGAATTATTAATTTCATCTGCTAGTTTTTAATGGTGACTATGAGGGAAATATCTTTCATTTTATCATTTTTTCTTATTTAATTTCTACAGTTACAATAGATACAACTACACTAGATACAACTACATTAAAAATTTCTACAAACTATTTTTTACAGTAAAATTTCTACAACTATAGTCCAACCAATCAGTCCCTATATATATCTATGGATGTAACTGAGAGTATACCACACCTAATTCATTGGATTTTTATGTAAAACAACTAAACTCTCCCAAAGCATCTATAACTTCATAGTTTCATTGCAAAAGAGTTAATTTTTCTTACTTTTATTTTAAAATAAAAGTAAAGAATTAGGAAAATAAATGATAAGAGTTATTATTTAAATTTTATTTTTTAAAAGATAAACAGATTAAAAGAAACTCAAATTTTCTAAAAAAAAAATTATATTTCAAGTTATGATTGAAGAATTCGCCCATTAAAATAAACTAGATCTTTTTTCCTCGCTTTGCGGCTAATTGCTTTTTATATTTAATTGTTAATTTTGCTGTACGAATATCAAATATTATAGACTATAGTTGTGTTTATAAACTATTATAAACTTATACAATATAGTATAAAAGGAAAAAATTTCTTTAATTTATATTGTTTGAATGTTGTATATAACTTTATTTCCACATATTTTTTTTGTTATAATGTTCTTTTATTAGTGTGCCAAAATCCGAAGACTGGTCAGTTATAAATATAAAACCCATTATCTTAGTAAATTTTTTCTTGCAGAAAAATACAATATGAGCATGACTCTGAATAAGTTTGAATGATTATAAGGTACTATAAATTTTAAAGATAGTAGATAATGATATAAATAAGTTTTTATGTGGAGAGATTTTTCCTTTACTTATATTGTAGTGTAATAAAATAGTTTTATTTGTTTGTGAAAACAATAAATCCGCTGTTCAAAATACATAAATAGGTTACAAGAAATTAAAATTTTTTTGAGTTTATTATTGAGCTTATTCTGAGTTGCATAGTAGATGTGTCGTTCGTACTCATGTATTTCAGTTATCTCTTATTGTACCTCAAAAACCTTTGACGATTTTATTTTGTTGTCAAAGTAAAATTGGTGCAGCTGATGATGAGTAATAGCTTCTCTGTAAATCTGGAAGTGTAGATCGGGATGAGATGAGTTAATTGTAACCACGTCAACTTCAAATTTGATTATATATGCTCTGTAACTTCTGAAAAATAGCTGATTGATTGTCCCAAAGGCTAAGTTTTACTTTTCTCGATCTACAAAATAGTTTTGTTTATAAGATGTAACTGATGTTTGAAATGTGGTCATTGTTTTCGCATGTACCTGTTTAAAAGCAAGCTAATTTGAACTATATTTTTTTTGTTTCTAGCTAATGGCAGATAATTCTTTGTATAATGCATAATTGTCCAACTATGTATGTGTTTGGTTAGTGTGTTTTATGTTTGTTATTTACTGGACAACCGATCTTCATAGTTTGTCCCTAAATGAATAGGTAATATTACTATCTGTGTTTAAATTGGATAGACAAATAATTAACCTCTTTGTCAAGACATATAAAACCAGTGCTGAGATTTGTGCTATTGTGATTTATGATGGGTCAAATCATACTTATATGAACTGATATTTTTGTGGGTGGGATTCCTTGTGCATGTGTGTTGATTACTGAAGCTCATGTGATGTGTTTTGGATGGTCATGTTTCTATGTGAAGAAATAGTAGGTTTATTTAAATGCAGGATGAAGAGAAGATATATTATGCAATAATTTGAAGTTTGAACATGTTTTATCAGAATTCATTATTAAATGAGAAATTAGCTACGATATGCCTAAAGACTTTTTTGTCACATTTATAGACCTTAAAAATAAAAATGACCAAAATATACTTAAAATGTTTTATTAAAAGAAGTAAATATACACTTATACCCTTAAGGTTAATTAATCTAGACATTAGAGTTTAGATTTAAGAGGTGAGGTTTAGGATTTAGGGTTTAGACTTTAGGGTTTAGGGTTTAGGGTTTAGAGTTGAGCAGTGGGGTTTTTGGGATAAGATTTTACAAATTTTAAAATAATGTTTTTTAAAAAAAATACAAAATAAAAATGCTATTTTGATATTTTTGTTTTTGAGTCCTATTTTTGTGACAAAAACTTTAACAAAAAAATCTATTTGAGAGAATTACCCTTATTAAATTACACAAAATTATTATGTTTAAGTTCTATTACGTTACTATATGGTTTATAAAGTTTGTTATTAATTAATCCATAACATATTTGTATTGTTGTTGTTGGTTATGTTAAGGGACATTCTAGTAGTATCAATCTCTGCAGGTTACATTGTTTCTGAGGTTGTTATCAGTTTGCAACTTTTTTTTTCTTATACAATGTGTTTAAATAATAACTAAAATTTAGCTGAGCTTTTTATATAGTAGTTTTCTAACTATATATATTTTTATATATTGATTTGACTATGTTTTTAACTCTAAATAGTTCAATATTACTATAATATAAAAACATAAATTAAAGAACAAAACCATTTGTTGATTTATCTGTAGACTGATGTATGATATTTATGGAAAATTGTAGAACTCAAGATGATAGTGTCTGTGATATGTGCATTCAAATATTACTAACTTTAGTAGGTTGTGTGTTAATAGTTGTCAATACTTATTTCTTGTTAAAATGTAGCTTCTACGTTGTGGTTAACCTGGCGAAGAATGCCTTGAATGTTCACCAACATTTGTTATTGGTTTTTGTAATTTAATGATACTTATTTATTTGATAATTATCTTAACTGAAAATAAAAAAATGTCATAAATAAATACATGTCAATAATAAATTTTTCAATAACTTATTTAAAATAGTTTTCTAGGTTTATGCCAACATTTTAAATTGACTGTTGAGCACTATAATTGAGACTGAAATTATTTCTTAAATATGTGATGTAATATTGAGTTTAATAAAAAAAATACTAATTTATAACATAAATATGAATTAGAATTGTGTAAAATAGAATATTTTATAATGGTATGCAGTATTTTAGTATTAAAGAAATTTTTTTTATTGTTTTGACTTTCTCTAGTTTTAATAGTGTACTAGATTTTGACCCGCGCTTAAAAGCGCGGAAATTTTTTATGATTAAAAAATTTATATAATTGGGTTTTGTCATAATTTAAATAATATTTTGATATAAAATCAGTTCACCAAAATTTGTGGTGATGATTGTTTTTCATTAGTTTTTAGTTTCAGTTTTTATTTTTAGATTTTGGATTTTGGTTTTTAGTTTTTAAGTTTCTACTTTTCATTTTCAGTTTTTGGTTTGGTTTTTTAATTTTTAAACCCGCTGAGTTAGTTTGAACAAATATTACAAACAAACAAATCTCAAATAATCGAACATCTAATTTAAAACTGAAAAGATGAAAAAAAAATTAAAAAAAAAAATTGAAATAGTTTATTTTGTAAATAAACAAAGCAAAAAAATATAATATGTGTTTTCAGCTTTTGGTTTTGGATTTTAGTTTTTAGATTTAGTTTTTGGTTTTGTTTTACATTTTTTAATCAGTAAATTATTTAAGAAAAATAAAACAATAAATTATTTAAAAGTTACCATTGAAATTTATCAAAACAAAGTGATTGTTATTTAAAATAAAAAAATATATTAACATGTTTTAAATTACATGATTTAAATAAATGATTAATAATGGATAATTTTGTTTAGTTAAAAATATTAAATACCTTTTGGGTCTGAAAATAATAATTGTTTTTTTATCTTTTAAGGTGAAAAGTTTATTCAATGTTTTTGGAGTTTTTTCTTAATACTAAGCGCAAAAACCAAACTATATAATTTGTTCACAAAATAAAAGTAATCCCAAAACTATATTCCATAAATAACCACTGGTTTAATTTAAGTGTAATTAGTAGATTTCCATATTCCATATTTTGATGATATATATTCTTTTAGAACATTCCATATTTGTAGGAGAAAATATGTGTTTTTGGTATACACATAGATATCTGCCGTATTTTGAAGGTAGTTTACATTAAGGTAGTCTTTTTACATTAATTTTGTTGGTTTAATTTAAGTAATACGGTTCAATCAATTATATGACTTATATTATTTGTAACATTCTAGAAAGAGTCTAAATTTAAATGACAACTTGTATCAGTAGATAAAAAGAATGACTCTATTTTAATAGAGTAGATGTTAAAAATGTTTTGATGATATTAGAATAGATAAGTTTTTATTTTTGTGGTATTGGAGTTTTAATAAGATAATAAGGTGGATCAATATCTAATTAAATGTATTAAATAGTAGTGTATGAACCCGAAAAGTTGTCGGTCAATATAATTTAAACGACATTAATAGTAAGAGAAGTCAAAATCCGAAAATGTAGTTTTTAGCATTTTTTTGTAATATTTTAGATTTATGTTTTTATGCATTTAATTTAGGAGATTTGCTTTTTCTTTTACAATATGTGACCAATGTCGCTTTCCTAATATTGTTTTATGTCTGGTCATTCTGTATATAATTTGACAATACTTGTTTATTGTTTCTCGTGTATTTATAACATAATATGAAGATCTTAGCTAAGGTGTAACATAATATGAAGTTCAT